AACGAAATGTCAGTCTTTTAGAGACTATAATATATTTTTTGTTGGATCATTGCTTAGATCGTATCTATATTTTTATACGTACAAAACTATGGATTTATCACAAAAGCCTTATCAGATTGTTTATACTCAAGTACGGACACACTATATGACATTGTTTTTATATCGTTGGAGAATTCAATTAAATTGCTTTCATACTTTACTGATTTGTATATTAACTACGAGACGTTTTTCAGTATCATGGGTGATAAATTATGTCTTTCCGGAAAGCATGGTAAAGAAACTGAAAAAATGTATTTACCCTTGGAGAGCTTTTTCACCGAAGAAATCACCTTTGCCGAGTGTCCTGATGTATTTGTCTTCTGGACTGTCAGGTTGCTTTATCGTTACACGCACTTGACCTCTGCTTATAATGAAGAACGTGTCTCCCCTTGCTCCTTGTCTGATTATGTAGTCTCCATTGTTGTAGAAAGTCTACAGAACAGAATATACAATAAAGTCAGAACGGATCTGTCACCACAAAATTTCAGAAATAACAAAACAGAGTATAGATTTCAGGCAATTATGCAGCAAATGGATCTTTAAAACACAATAAAGAAGTGACAAACGGCAATATTTAATAACAAAAAAAATGACTAATGTCTTTATTTTATTATTAATTTGATCAAACTTTTAATAAGTAAAATCATATATTTTTTATAATAATTAGCAATAATATAACAGCAATAATAATAATAGCAATGATTCCATAATCGCAACAATGTTACGTTATTTTAATTAGTCCAACAGTATTGAACAAATTATTCAAAGGCTGTAGAAATACTTTTAACAATTTATCGAACGAATTTTATCACGACATATTTTTTCTAATTATATTTCGACGCTTTTGTTCTTGTGAAATATATTGTTCATCACAACCCTACGTCACTGTAAACGGAATGTTTCAGACAAATGTTATTAACAGACTGTAGATCTTTATGCAAAATAAACATTTTCTAAACAAATTGTAGAAACCAGAAAGTAGATAATGTTTTCTTTTAATGATTTTAATAATTTGAAGAGAATGCGACATAGTCACTTTTAGCATAATGCATAAATAATAATGCATGAAATCCACAGTCTAGTTATTAAGTTTCATAACTATTTTATTGTTTAACGAAAAATTAATGTGTTTCTTGCGCATTTAAAACACAATGAACGAATTTATTTTCGATCAACGATTGAAAATTTATTTCACATTGAACGTAAAATTAATTGAATTTATTTATTAAAAAGATAATGCGACAATAGTCACAGAGGTTCCTAAGAAAGGTACAGTTGTAAAATATTATAATGGCTCACCCTGTGAATTCATCAACTGGTAGGAAAGCTAATAGAATAGAAAATGCGTAATAGTGTAATCTGTCTGCAATAATAAAATTGCACGAACTTCCACAATCTTAATTAAAAATGCAAAACTCACCTCTTCCAGGACGTCCGAAATTTTGATTAACGTTTCCTCGGGTAAGTTTTTGAAGATAGGAACGCTGAAATAAAATGAAAAAACAGATATTAGTACATTGGTGCTCTTCAACAATTTGCAAAATGATAAATATAATTTGAATAATGGTGTGAACACAATTTGTAAAATAGTAAATGAAATTTGTATAATAGTGAATTTGATTGGAAGTTAGAATGATTATAATTTGCAAAAAGAAAAAATGAATTTAGAGTGCAAAGGGATGAATTTGATTAGAAAAAATGCAAATTTGAATTCGAGAAAGGTGAATTTGTATTTAAATTTGAAAGGATAATTATAATTTGCAAAATTGTAAATTTATATCATATATTTATATCATATATCATTTATATCAAATATTATATCAACCAACAAATCTTGGTTCGTGATCCTCTTTCAGTAATGCTTATAATTTTATTCAGGGATTTAACAAAAATAAATTTTTACAACTTTTTCAGAACAGGGAAAGATATAACAATTTTAGTTCGTGTAACGTTAATTCGAAGAGTTCTACGAAATTGTGTATTCTATGAGCATAAAATATACGATGACGCGCGATGGTAACATTAAGCTAAAGTGAAATTAATTTCGGCGTAACAGCGGAATAGAGATTTATTAATCTCGCCTGTGATTAATGGGCCCCGTTTCGTTCTGGCCCACGGAGAAGAGGGTGTAAGAAAATAAGAGATTTCTTAATAAGAGACTGGCGGAACCATTCGTCTTGACTATTATTTACACAGACGGCTTTTCCAGCCTTTGCGTGGATTAGTTGCGGTCGCTGATTTATGGTTTTCACACTGGCGACATACCTTCTCTCAGTCATTTGGATTGTTATTAAATGCAGTTAGTAAATTAGCGATCTCTTTATGTAAATTTATAGTTTCGTAGTTTACTTTGGAAACTCTGGAATTAACAGTACAGAGAGGTTTTGCACTTTGAAATTCATTCTTTTGCAGATTACATTTATCTTCTTGCAAATGATACTCGCCCTTTTACAAATGAAATTTAAAATTTTGCAAATTATATTCATGCTTTCAAATTTAAATTCAAATTCATCTTTCTCGAGTTCAAATTCGCATTTTTTCAAATCAAATTCACCCCTTTGCACTCTAAATTCATTTTTTTCTTTTGCAAATTATAATCATCCTAACTTCCAATCAAATTCACTATTATACAAATTTCATTTACTATTTTGCAAATTGTGTTCACACCATTCTTCAAATTATATTTATCATTTTGCAAATTGAATTTACCATTTTGTAAATTGTATTCACCAATATGTGTGATACTAACTTTCAATTTGGTTTTGCAATTTACTTTTATTGTAATGTATTCGAGCAAACAAGGTGTATCTAGGATTTCGAGAATGCACAAAATGGTAACTATGGTAAATTGTAACTATCCACTTTCGTTTTTCGTTAATTAAATGACTCCGATAATGTGGACATTTTTGGCACTCAACGTTTTGATGGTATATTTTCCCAAACAGGATACCAAACTAGCATTAATAGTATATTGTTATAAATAGGATACCAAAATAGTGTTCATGATGTCTTTTCATAAAAACAGGATACTAAAATAGCATTAATAGTATATTTTCATAAATACGATACTAAAATAGTTTTAATGCTATATAAACAGGACACCAAAATAGTGTTAATATTATATTTTTGTAAACAGCATATCAGAATAGTGTTAATATTGTATTATGTAGCATTAATAGTATATATACAGGATATAAGGATATAATATATATAATATTAATAGTATATAAACAGGATACCAAAATAGTGTTAATATTATATTTTTGTAAACAGCATATCAGAATAGTGTTAATATATTGTATTATATAGCATTAATAGTATATTTTCATAAATGGGGCATCGAAATAGTGTTAATAAACAGGATACCAGAATAGTGTTAATGGTACATTTTCATAAACAGTGTACCAAAATAGTGTTAATGGAGTATTTTCATAAACAGGATACCAAAATAGCACTAATGGCATATTTTCTTAAACAGGATACCAGGATAGTGTTAAATAGCATATTTTCATAAACTGGAGAACAAGATATGTTATTCAATTAAAATCGAGAATCCTGAAGGTCCACGCGAAAATGTTAAAACGGTACATTTTCACAAAAAGGATAACGAAATCCACGAGACTTCAAGGTTTGAATTAAACCGATGACCCGAAGGTCCTTGAGCCGTCATCAGAAGAGAAATATAATTTACCTCTTCAAGAAGTCCGTGTATTCGGCCTGCCTCGAGAGGCCAGTTCTCATCATGATAGTTTGGAAGCATTGTCGGTCGATGGCCCATAACTGGCAATCGGTGGCCGCTGTTATCGTCGCTGTCCTTTTGCAGTTGTAGAGGATTGCTAGCTCGCCGAGGACCTTTCCTGGCGCGAGAGTACTCAAGTACTTGCCGTCGCGTGACACCTCGACCTTTCCCTCTGCAAAAATTCATGTTCTTGTTAACTCCTGATCAGGTACTTCGACATTTTAATGCTGCTGTCCGGTAAAGTGTGATTTGTACAGTTAAAATATCATCCGAATGTTTTTAATTTAAATCGTTTAAGCGCGATTCGAATGTTTTTTTACGTTGTTCAGCATCGATCAAATTATTCAAACAGAGCGAGTGTTAAAATGTGATGAATACTCATTTGTTTTACAATAAAATATATTAATTAAAAATTATTTAAATAAAATTAAATATATTATTAATGATTAATTATAATTATATTATTAATTTTATATTAATTAAATATATTAATTAAAATTAATATCGTTACAACGAGAGTATTATCTACAGTTATTAGTTATTTATAACAGTGCGCCGGTCCATAATTTCTTTGTTATGTAAACAATGATTATAATTTCCTTGAAAAATAAACAATGCTTACAATTTCTTTGTTAAATAAGTAATGATTATAAATCCGTTGTTAAATAATGAGTGATTACAATATCCATTTCTTAATTTACTGTCGAAGTAATAAATATTAAATAATCTATTCACGCTCAATAACAACGAAGTATTTTTTATCGATGTGCAAATATGATAATATCACTATTTATTTGTTTTCGACCGTTAACCGATGTCGTTATAAACGATGAAATCTGTCGATCCAATTCTTCGATTATTTAATCATGTTACAGGTTAAACGACTCGCGAAGTCGAAGGACCACTGACATTTGCAAGGCAACCAATTAGGTCAGCATGTTTATTCGTTTATATGCAGACTCGTGAGTACTTTAATTGCAGCGTGACATTTATCGGGAACCTCCCGGAAAGTTTCTTCCGGAGACAACGCGGTACTTTTCCAATTTGCGTGGCGACGACTGTAACAACTTCCAAATTCTGATACTGAAAATATTTGTTCTAAGGGACGACTTTCCTTTACCACGATGTTTAAATACTTTTTGAAATAATAATTAAAAATTATTCGTATCAAAGGAATAAAAAAATACATCTTTGAAAATATTAATTTAAAATTATATTTACCAAAGGGATAAAACTACATCTTTAAAGATATTCATTTAGAATTATTTGTATCGAAGGGATGAAAAAATACATCTTTGAAAATATTAATTCAAAATTATTTTTACCAAAACATCTTTCGAAATATTAATTTAAAATTATTCTCTAAGTTTACTCACTTTTCGCAATCAACTTGCCAACTCTTTTCCATAATTGTTATAAAATTAATTTGGTAACGATAGGAATACATATATGTTTATAAAATTTTGATGCCAATTTTAAAGAACTAAATATTACTTCTTGACAGTTTTTATCATTTCTTGTACTATTTTATTTGTTTAAAAATAAATATGTAATTTAAAGTGTT